GAATCTGAAATGAATCTGAAATGATGACTTCTCAATCGGTTCCAAACTTTTTCCGATTCATGAATCTGTATAATTCATTGATATTTTGTATTTGGAAGCGACAGTGATAAGCAGTCGGTCCCGATCAGAGAAAATTGTCTGCCGAATTAGGACAACCATCTGTTATTGTGGGATTAAATGATCTTGGACAAATGAGTAATAAATAGATGTTAAATTTTGACCGAATCGAATAGAATGCTCTAAACTTCTCCTCGTATGTATCCCCTAGACTTCTATGGGCTCAAGAAACGATACACACCAAAGTACACATATGGAAACAGTCTTTACTGTGCCGCGTAGTAAACTAGAAGGATGTGGCAGGGAGAATTAGATTTGAAACGGTTCGGCGGATCGCTTTATTGTCTCGTATATTAAACCACGCATTACCGTTCTCTTAAATGAAATGAACCTCGGTACATCCTTTGCAAAGTGTAATCGTAGAACTATATTGCTTCTCTTAGCTCGTTTATTTCCCACAATCTAAACAGCTTTAAGACGTTTTTCTGTCCGGGAACAGTTAAACTAGTTAGACTGTGGTAACAATTTCTTCATGGACACCGACATTTCGTGAAGTAGTTGCAATATATCAGGTGAGCTCACGGTCAGGATAGCGTAAGTGTCTCATGGATCATAAGAATATAGGCAACGGATTTGTATGTTCGTTAAATGTAACAAGACACACTTCATGCTTAAAGTAGGCGTTCCCCGAGGGTAAGTAATCCGAATATTTATCCGTTGGGTTGTTTTTTTTCTTAATAACACCGGTATGTCTACGAGCTCTCATACACTTTGGTGCTTTATGTAGGAGGATTAGTACAACAGGCAACAAGCACTAATCTCTAACGGAGAAAAATTATACATTCTCATCCTCATAGTAGTTCATAGGAATCCAAAGCTTCTTGATATATGTATGTTTGTTTATTTCGTTCCCCCTCAAGCATTCACATCCAGACTCACTTCAATGAGCTCATGGTGTACGCCGTACATACAAATGGCGAGTAGATTTGCGCAATATTTCCATTCGCTTGTGTAATTAGTTAGAATAATCAGGAGGTTTTTCCAAAGCAGTGAGTGTCTAAAATTCGGCGGCTCCTTTGCTCAACTCTTTTTCATCCATTTTGTTACAGTTGTAGGTTTCTATGAGGAGGGATGAAGAAAATTCTCATGGGGGAGAACACAGCTTTACTAGGCTGTCTCTGTTGCTGATAGGCTCTTGCTAGAGTCAATGGGTATAGGTACCCTGCAACATCGAATTCCTATTTAGTACCCTAATGACCGCTTGTGTTAGTTAACGTATCTGACTTGGTCAGCCGTTTCTGGGTGTCAAAAAGAAAGCTTGTAGGAATATCCAACACCGTTGTTTTCACGCCACTTGTTAGTTGGCACAAACGTTGTCTGTGTTGCAGGTTAACGCAAGTTATCAGCGTGAGCTGCGTTCGTTCTGCATTTGTTTTTTGCACATTTAAGTAACCATTTATTTAGAGCTTTAAAAATCATCCCCCATTTAGAACACATACATTGCTTTCATTCGCTTTCGGCATAACCTACTGAGACCAATATGCACATAAGTGATGTAAGATCTTGAAGAAAGAGTAAATCGCAATATACTTAGTCAACATCGTCATACAATAAAGTCATTTGGCAAACTAAAGGGTCATTGTTGTGGCATAAGTTACCTGTCACTCTTTGTTTCCCTCCAGGAGCTATTTAGCATGCGACAGTATCCAAAACTCTTGGTCCCTCACTTAAAATCGAGCTGAATGTTCACGCCACCCAACTGTGTGCTAGAATTCGGCGTGAAATATGGTACGAACATACATATATACCAACATAAACATGTATATATACCTTCATATATTTCATGTAAGCTGTACCTGTAAAGTCCGTGCTTCTGCTATCCCACTGTTGCTCATGAGAATAAGTGTCTTCGATTCAGGTGTGGGGATATTTTGAGTCTCATAATCACTTAAATTTAGTGCAGATGCACCTGGTCGTTTCTTTATACCTAATGTGCTGCTTGTGGATTTGTCCATCATCGCAGCGCACAGTTGACTATACAGCCTATTACACAACCGAAATCAAATGTTTTCCGGAAAAACCTACAGAAACTGATCTGCGTGAGTGTGAATTGATGAAATTTTTCAAAGGATGTATTCTGGTAAGTTATTAATAAATCTTGAAAAGGGGCCCTCTCATACATAAAGCGGTTTTTCAATGAAACCTCTGCGATATACTTCGAAATAATACCTCGGATGGACACAGGTTGGACGAAGAAACAGTCCTGATATGAATGTGAAGAAGGATAGCACGAATAAGTCTCACCGGATTGTGCTAATTTAACAGAGCTAGGGGGTATTATAGTGTAATCTGGTTGATGTGACCTAGCAATAATGTTTTTGGCTTATAAGATGCCCCTGGAAATAGCGGGATTTGACCCAGTTCCTTGAAGATCAAAGGAGAGCAGACGTAGAGGAGTGGTGATTTGTAATACTTCTCTAATGGAAGCATCTGTCATGAGTTGAATTTCCACTCCCACTTCCAGGTTGAAAAATTATAATGCACCCGCCTTGAACCGGCCGCAGCACCTTCTCAATGTCGTTTTCCGATTTCTCATGTTTCTGAAGTCAAAAAGGGTAGAACTAATGCCAATGACAGCCACTCACCTTTCGCCTGCACACAACAAAGGTCTGCCTTTATTTCGACTTATGTGCTTCTGTACATTCCTGAATTTGACGCTTAATACGCGTAATGGTTTTTAAAAGGGGCAGACCTGAGCGGGTATTCTTTCGTGCATAAGTCCATATCGGATAGCACAAATGGTCACTTCCTGAAAACTGTGCCGCGTTTCCATCAATTTCACCAAACATCAATAAGAAGTTTTAGTTAGCCCAAAAAAGAGGATACATGAATAAATCTGTTTTAAACATGGAAAATCCAAGATGCTGCTGGCCACTAATCTACTACAAAAACGACTGCTTTGTAACTCAGATAAGCAAAGTGATTCAGTTTTCAGGTAGCTGCAGTGAATTCATTTCGAAAAGACGTTTGTGATATGGTTACAAAAACTTTAGGGACTAAGATGGAGGATATATAGTATTCATTTCTCAAAAATCTGGCTCTAAGTTAGCAGAACGTCTATGTGTCCTCGTTGTTGGGTGGAGAGTCAGGTTTGCAATCGGTTCACCAGTTAATTTTCAACTTCCCTCAAACTTATTCGCATGTGCATTATTCTCCAATAAATCTGGATACACCGCTCGTCACTGATGTGCACATGCAGAGGGACTGCAGCTCTCTAAAAGGATCTTAACATTCGTCTGGTCGTTTAACCTGGTGTGCCACTTCCCTGACGGATTTTGTGGGTTCTTCTCACTCTAGACGATTTTCACTTCAAAATTACTGGGCCTAAAGTATGTTCACACTGTAAGTCTGTATCCACCGGCCACGACGACCTAGTGTACTTAGCTGAACGGCCCGTTTAAGGCAGTGTCATTTCAAGCCTCCAATGAGGATACCACATGAAGCAACTTGAACCCATTTGCGTTCCCAAGCTTTAGTACCTGAGTCGTTCATCATTCGGATTTTACCAAAGTTTGGGTGGGGTCTGAGTAAATCTGCTATTTCGAGTGTTGAGCTGAGTACTAATCCGACAACTATCACCTAATACGTTACCCTTCTATGATCTTATGCTGTCAGTTTGTGCTTTGTGAACGTTCGTCCACGGAAGCATGAGTAACCATCTGGCTACTATCTGTAGCACATGAGGCTTCTGCACTTAGCCGACTCATTTCGAACAGTTATATGCAGGATAAAGTGCTGCGATTTTCGCGTTTGATGACTACATTTTCGTTTACAGAGTACCGCTCTTACACTCAACTAGAAAAATGTGGCCAGCTAGCCTTACGAAAAAGGACACAGTTGCCTAGGTTCGAATGATTTACTAAGGTATGGCAAGAATGACCCCTGACATGCTCCGTTGTCCCTATTTAAAGTACCGGTTCACAGAAGGTTCTCGCCAAAGTGATCACATTCAGTAACCGGCCAGATGTGCGCTAGAATTCTGGTAAAAGCAGTCGGCCACCTGATACGTTCATCTCGACTGTGAAACTAATTTCACTTATATTCCAATGAGTCGGCAACAGAACGCATTTCAATAAACAAACAAATATTTAATCTTTTAAATAAAATGCCTCTCTAGTATTCATTATAAGACGACTTAGTAGACTCCAAGAATAGAGAGAAGAATAGGATGACTGCTCTGTATTTGGGGTCACGTCAACCTTTATCAAACTACTACTCCCGAACACCAATCTGATTGAAAGAAGCACAACCACATGTTGTTTTACTGGACTAGGAAATCATCCAAGCATTTTACGTTGAATATGGCCGTGTAACTTTGATTGAAAACAATATGCCTGATCACGTTCAGGTAAAATCTTTGGGACCAAAAACAAGGAATGATGAAATGCAACTAAAATCTTCCAGTTGAAGAAGACAGACATATATACCTCATACGTCTTCCTTGGATGTTTGTTTCAACCACCTGAAATTGTATAACGTTTGCGGATTCTACGGTGAATGCAACTGATAGCGTCCTCAACCAGATTTTAGTATAAAATAAAACAACTTGTGTCTGACAGAGCCTTTACGGTGACCGCTGCTCACTTTCCTTAGATTACTGAATAAAGTGAATTGTAGTGGATCGAGCGTGCTCACAGGCAACGGTGAGTATGAATTGCCTATGGCTTCACTGTTTCCGATGTGCGAAAACAGGTACAAGTTAGACAGAAGACTGTTTTCGGCCACCTACTGGAATCGGTGTAGTCCCCAAATATATGAGGAATTTTCCGCGATTCGCCGATGACTGGGGTTTTTTGGTGAGTGATAACAACAACAGCGTCATCAGATGAGGTAAACAAATCATAAACGATATAAGTTTAATTCACACAGGTCAAATAACTTACACCATGATAACTGCTGTTCCAAGTCCATTGTACTTGCCTTCTGTTCAGGGGCATCGTCCACCAGAGAAATCGAAATTTCAAAGGTATTTTCTTTCGCTTGGGTAGCGTCATCCAGATCATCATCCAGTGATAGAACAAAAGTGGCCTCAGTATCTCCGGCCATTATGTTATTCGGTAACTCTCTTATGACAATGTACGTGATTTCAACTAAATGAGCACTATTCTGAGAGGTCCTTATGACTATTGTCACAGACTTTCGGCACGTTCAGCTTGCCAATACATAACATTCAGGTATCCGTCGTAATCCGAAACAAAATTCACAAAATAGAGGCCATAAGAAACGGCACAGTCGTTGGACTAGATGTTTTGATAACAGGTTCAATTAACTTCGACGAATTGGATTACGGACAACTCTTGCTGAACCTTTGCAGATGTGGAATAAGTCGTACATTAACAAAAAGGCAACTGGGTGTCAAAACTACTCTGTGTGCAAATGTGCACTAGTGTGTGTCTGTTTGTGCGATTGTGCGTGCTCGCATGTACGCCTGCGTTAATTCACGCTCTTATTCGTATGGTTTCACATTGGTCCACACGCTCCTGACATGTTCGCGTCAGGCTAAACGTGCCTGTCTGTGTCGGTCCATGTTTAGGACAGGGTTAAATCTTCGTCTGTCAACGCAACACACGGTCTAGTCCTTATAGTATTGTCATAGTGAGGCAGCAGCATTGAAGCCAACACTCCCACTCCATCACATCTGTCCGTTTGAGGTAGATAGAAAATCAACTGTGGAGGTCTAAGTGCGACACATGGTCGCCATCCTTTCTAGGGCCATTTCCTGATCCACTCAATGTACGGCAAAATAAAGTGTCGACCTATCCACTCAGGAGGGTGTTGCGTATACGCACGCATGCAAAACACCAACAAAGTTTTAATGCAGTACTATTGGTCTCAGATCAACGCCTGCATTTAGTATTTACGATCGGTTGTGTGATCCGCCTCCAAGCCGATAGAAGTGGGTGTTAGTTCGAAGACTTGTAAGTAATGGATCGTCATGTGGGGTTCATAAAAATGTACTGAGGATCTCGTGCATTCCTCGTTTTTCTGCTTCAAGGGACAGTGTGTAAATAAGTTGACTGTAGCAAATTTGGGATAACTAACGAAACGGAAGTGATAAAAGCGTAGTTTCACCAGTATTCTGAGAAAGGAAGGAATAGACCTCACGGGGATGATATCGAAATTACTGACAGAAGATATGGGGGTGAATTGGGACTATTCCATTCAGGCCAATGTAGGGCGTGATTTGTCACTTACATTTATTTACATAAACGTATATATCCTTGCGCAAAATCCCTCCTGGAAAAACCAGGATTCCAATTTAATGCGTTGATTTTGCATGTAATTTCAGGCGAAACAGACAACCAGAAAAAGGCACTTGAATAAAACCCTTCCCTACATGATTATTCACCTGCTTGGCTTTTAACTATTGCAAGTCCCACTTTGTAAGTTCAATGCTCTTTTGAAGCCACTTGTCGGCTAGCTGAAGTACGTTGTAACGATTTAGGCCCTCCTGAACAAGACAGCGGACAGGAAAAGACCACTGCCAGTTTGCGTCTTCAGGTGGTTTCTGAGGGGGATCAGCTTTCCTACACTTTCTTACAATCAGAAGACCGCTTGGAAGTAATCTCTTTTGAAGGCTAATGACTTCAGAGAGCCACGATTGAGGTTGGCCTACTCTTGACAGAGATCCTCATAGGCCCATCGAATGCGATCTCCTTCACAATTTGATTCCATCTAGAAAAGAGCTTCATATGGATTTACCCATTTATAGGCCACCTGGTGGTTTATACTGACGAAAATCCTACTAGAGAAGATATATTGCTTATTGAAAGCAGTGCAGAAACCGTCTACGTACGTGCTTATAGAATCTAACATATTATATCGTCCATTCAAAAACCGTCCCGAATTCGGAATTTTCTGGCCTTCATGGTAAACCACTTTTAAAATTATTTGCTTAGTTGACTCTTTAAGAATATATACACGCTGTTGCTGATTCTCAGTAAGCAGGAAACATTTGAACGGTGGTCCTCTTCTGCGTAGCATACACTGAATCCACTTACATGACAGAATCTCAATGAAAAAACAAACCGCATAGCCAAGATCTGCTTAGCAAAATCGGGATATCCTAGCGAACAGCGGTGGCGATTTCTAACAAGGATGCGTTAACAGCAGGGAATTAACAAGAATAGACCATTTTAGTGTGCTATTAACCTTGAAGTAATTGGTGCACTCCCTTGGGAGAGGTAACAAGACGCTCTTTGGCGCCATTTTCCTCCGGTCCGACAACGGGGATGCATAAGAGAATCATGTGGATTCATAGAAGTTTAATCCGAAGTGGTCTAGTAAACTCTGATCTGGTCCAACTATATTTTTTAATATAACTTTAGACAACGCGCCCCTGTAAATAGGACCACTTTCGAATTCCCTACGGGCCCGTTGGTTGTCTAGCCCGATGCCTCACTGAGGGTGATTAAATAGCCAACAACTGAGTTGCGAACTTACATGTTTTTTCCACCGAATGGCTCCCAGTTATCCGTCCCTGTTATAGTTCTCCGAACGATTGTCTTTCTTCAACAACCAAAACACGTGGAACACAACAAACTTCCTAGGCTCAATTACTGAGACACACTAAGAAGCTCCTTGTTCTGGAAGCCTAATTCAAAAAATTCCCCGTTATGATAAGAACACAAATGGGTTGACGAACATGTTTTCGGCAAGGTCTTTCCAAGTCACACAATCGAAAAGGTTGAGAGAGCAGTATTTAACATATCTGAATGAGTATGATGTAAATATGCGGGAAATCGGGTGAGACGACTTTGGCTACCTACCAAAGAACAATTAGTTCAGGTCACCAATAGGATGACTTGAGCTAGTCAGCGCGGGGAGTGCTGCAGTTGTGCGTTCAGCACGAGGTGCATGTGTGAGGGGAGGTGAGTTGGACCATGGTAAGTACAACATACGAACAAAGCGTCTTTGCCAACAAAGGATCGGGTCGCGATGTCGTATGGCGATAGCTTCAGTCACTGCGATTGTGCGCTGTTTTACTGATCTGGGTTGACTAGCCGGTGCCTTGCAAACAACGCGGAAGCTTTGGCTGGGTATCACGTTGTGTGCAGTGTCAGCTAAATGTTGTACTACAGAGCTGATTATCGTCCTCCTAGTTCCAGAATCTAGCCACGGTAGATTGTGTTCCTTCATTCTTTGGCCGAGTTGCCTAGTCGCGCGTCCGATGTGTTCCGCTGCGCAGCAGCATATAACATATTTTGGGCGCGGAGAGGCACTCTATCCTTGAGATTAAAGGGACACAAACGATTTCTGGTGAACCAGGTTGGGAGTGTTGCGGCCGGGAAAACTTTGTTCACACTGGTGGAAAGTCTTCTGTTCAGCATATGGGCCGGTATATCTCCCTTAAACGGGGGACTAATGTAAACTGGTTTCCTTCCAGCTGCAACTGTGATGGTGTTTGCCTCCTCCCTGTTCAAATACATTGTAATAAACTTCTCGGGGAATCCACTGTCTCTCAAAAGGTTGGTGGCAGTTCGGAATTTTCGTTCCGGCACATCATCAGAGCGTATTTTCTTTGTTCTGTTAGGCTTCGGATCAAGTTACTTTTCTGCTTTCGTGGCTGCTAAAGTCAATGTATTGACCGGACCAAGTAGGTTTTCGGTACACCGATCGTTTCAGGGTACCATCGTGACGTCGTTCAAGGCCAACATCTAGGAAGTGGAAGAAGTTGTCGGTTTCTCCTTCCGAAGTGAATTAAATGGCAGTGTGGGCCTTATTTAACTGTTGTTGGGGCGATTCCCATTCGTCTTTATCGTTAACAACAACAGCGAAATCCTAATCGTTGCATAGTGACTAAAAATTTTTAATTCTAATCATTTTGGACCAATAAGTCCGTCATTGGTGGTTGTGTGCACTGTTGCGTGCGTTCCATGAAAAACAGTTAATCAGGTTACGTAATAGACCATAGCTCCTAGATATGTCAATATTGATGGGTATTCTCCCATGAAGCACACTAAGAATCTCCGGCACTTTCGTCTGACAGGCGACAGAGATTCCTGTTCATGAAAAATGCTTCGTCAATCGAATTGGACTTACTATCCGGATGAAAAAGCAGACCCAGGAAAATATTTCACGTTAAGACCAAACAACCGGTGTTCAACAGTATTACTATTGACGGTGACATAACCGGTTTGTTTAAAATGGCGCAAGCATCAAAATGCAACCTTTAGATTTTTTCGATAACATTTTCTCTAATTATTCCTGCGTTTCTCCACAAATTTTATTCAGCTCAATTTGATTGTGAAATCAAGTAAACCGGTGGTTGATGGTTCCTTATTAGACTGAAAATCATGCAAATCGTTTCATCCTCTGAGTGATTAAGTGTTCGGAGTCTTAAAACCGGCTGCTGGAACTATATTCTCCTTGGCATAAATAAACGATAAAACCTAGAGAGGCTGACAGCCCCCATCCCATGATTTTCACGTTCAAAGACCAAGAAAATCACGGAATGAGGCAAGAAAACTGTCACTTCGATGTCTAAGTCGGAATAGACGGAGGCAGTCTTCCTAATGACACGGTCTATCTTGCAACGCCGTTTTTTTCACGGGGGCTAAATATTATCTTCTGCTATGTTATGACATCTTTCTAATCACGCTGATGAATCCTTGACTGCTTCTGACCATCCAAATGCTTTCAATGACTGCAAAACGTTGGTGCTACGTCGTCTGCTGTTTGGTGAATACTTGGTAGCTTGACCACTAAAAATGTTACCATTTTGATCAAACATCCTTCGAGCGTTTCAGCTTGGACCAAAAATGTCTCAGAAATGCACTGATGAAAACGACGGTCAATTTTTTCCAAAGCGTTATTAGATTTCTGCCTTTTGGTTAGCACAGTATAAATTATTCTTACGGTAAAGGCCAAAGGATGATGAACTGTTATCTGAACTGCTAAAAGTCTTCACATTTTGAACCAGGAAACTCTGCGTTCCACGCTCAAACAACCCATGTTCCACTGTGTGCATCGCCAATGAAATTACTTAATAATCTCAGCTCTCACGTTGTTTTGTGTATCTGCGTTCGGTACCTCCTATTATCTAACATATCGATATCATCCCCAGACAGCTATAGACAAGAAAATTTATAACACCAAGTCCTTTCGTGGCTGTCCTTCTCAACGCTATTTACTCTACGCTGAAATCAGTGACATCATATGGTCAACCAATGAGCTGGGATCCAAATAAATCTGAGTGCGAGATATGTATCACAAACCGAATGATTGTTAGTCCAGTCACTTGGAGGTGCATTATAATTGTCCATCCAAATCCACTCCTGCTGGTTTGGCGACAGACAAAAGCCAGAAACCCGTACAAAAATGAAATTGTATCTCATTAACCAACAAGTAACCAACAACGTTTACTTTCACGTCATCACGTATTGGCTGAATAATGACCTGCAGCACGCCAATGTACAGTGCTCGTCTGGCGATCGTATTCCCACGGCGCCAAAGGCTCGTACGCCGTACTACAT